GAAATAACTCGCATATTCATGGATCACACGACGCTGCTCCGAATGCATTGGTCGAAACGAGTAACTTACAGAAGACATGTTCGATTGCTGCAAATTACTCTATACTGCAAGCTTTTTAACTTACACGAGACTTCAAATACTACTGAGCCTAATCCTTCAAATGTCATTCGAGAACAACTCGATTTTGAAATCTAGAAGCTATGGAAATTTCTGGGAAATTTCCTGAAAATCATCCCTTTAATTAATAATTCGAATTGCTTCAGGTACAGCTGTGTTCTTTGGGCAGATTCAAAGAAGCTCCGCAACTCACCTAAATAAATACGCACATATTTGCCTAAAAAACAGTTCATACCAAGAGCTGAACTGAAGAACTAGGCTAGCGATGGAGCAGAAAAGTCCAGCAACTTTCCTCAGTAACCCGACAGGACTGAACAACAAAATGCAGTCAGTATGAAGCAGCTTTTTGCTACAGTAATTTGTAAAAAAAGTTCTTATGAAAAACAACACAGACCTTGGACTACCCAGTCACAGTAAATTACGGGGATATCCACACAGTGATATGGACCAAATGATGGAAGAAGGTGTTATTGTACTGCACCTACTTCGTTATTCTCATATCTACACTCTTCCAGACGGATTCTGTGACTGGGCTAGACGACTTATAAGCACCAACAGACATAAAAAGTTTGATGCTGCCAAAATAGAACGCTCCGTTCTCAGATTCTGCTTCAAAAACCGATCAGAATTCAGCAAATCCATCTTCCCTAATGATTCAGGAAATAAATGCCTAGTCAGCACAATATTCTTGTAAAAAGAGGTTCCCCATAATTGACTCATGACTGTCCATACCATGGGTTAACTTCTTTCTCTCCTCTCTCATCCTCTTTTTTCTTTGTCTGTATTCTCTTTCTTTCTTTCTTTGTTTTGCATACCCGTCTTGTAAATTAGTTACATGACTGCTCAGTACTTGGCGAGTAGGAGGCTGTACTGATGATTTCCATGCCTGCTCTCATGCAAAGTTCGGTCTGTGTTTACAGCTAAGGGATGGAACATAAAGTGTCTTCTCGCATATGACACTTAGTCCAATCCTCTATTCTACTATTCGACTAGCTGATAGAAGAAAAATGAAATTCATGTCACTTTCTTTTCATGAAGGTACTGGCAATGAGATGAAAATTTTCTCAGAAATACGTTCCAACTCGCTACACCCTACCAGCAGCAATGCAACACTTTCCAATACTTACAGCATCCAAAGTTTGCACGAGTTCAACGAAAACGCATTCTATTTCGGCAATCAGCTTTTGGTTCACTTTCCATTGGTTTTTCAAAAAATCGCTGTACACTGTAGAGGCTTCGCCGGAAGCTGCAGTTGATTCAGAGATATTCAGTGCATCTGCTACTTTCTTATTTCGCAAAAATCGCTGGCATTCGGCGTCACATGGAAGGCTGCAAATACGCATTATCGGAATAACTTTACTATTGCTATTACTATTACTATTACCATTCAGCTATTCATTTCTTCTATCTGTTATATGTCATTTTTGTCACTTTTGTGAACGAATAATGAGCTTATTCTGTTCAAAGTTCCCTCAACACTCACAAACGTTTTGCTTTTGAACAAAAATAAAGCAAAAAAAAAAAATGATTACAACAAAACTGCAAGAGATCAGTTCGCAAGAACTGTTACAGTTTTTTTTTTGCGTTGGATACATAAGATGCATCACATATTACTGCATCCCACCCGTGAGTCGGGCATAGCTTCACCAGCTCGCAGACCCACCCTAGTAACATCACCAAACACAGACAGCAAAATCTACATATTCCTTTTCACGTATTCACAACACATGTCCTTACCTTTGTCACAAAATATCCACCTATATCTTTTCATTTCCTCAACCACTTCCCTCTTATGTCCTTTTACCATTAGTCACTACTAGTCGCAACAGTTACCGGTTAATCATTATCTCTATTCTCATCAACTTCCTTCAAAAAAAAAACCCCAATTCTAACTCCTTCCATTCAACGTCCCACATACACATACAATTTTTGGTCATTCCTCCATCAACAATTTGACTTAATTACATTTAGTATGATTCATTCTATTGAAATGCAGGTTAAAAAAGCATCAAAATCCCAGTGCACTTAAACAAGCTAATTTTTCGAACGGAAAAAGTCAGCATAAACGAAGGAAATGCTTCTCTTAACGCCAACACGCCACTGAACAATACCACGGAATTCAATTTTGCTGTAGTTTAAGCAACGAAATTCATTCTTACCAGCGATATTTATCGTTGCTTGGGCTTCTCTTCAATATTTGCTTCTCAGCTAGCGGTTTTGTATCGCGATTTTCTTCTACCTTCACTGCCAAAGCCTTCTGGAAAGCTCGTTCCACGTCCACACAACGCATTTCGGCTGATTTC